GGCGATGATAGTAGAGATGGTCACGTGGTGGCAGCTGGTCAGTCACAGGTTCCTCACAATAACTCAAACTCAGTCATTGGTTTATATAGGGTCATGATGCTAACTCAGTACTTTCAGCGAACTGGATAAGCCATGGGTTTTTCATAGGTCCATTACGATAACTGGAACTTAGTCATTGGTTTTATAATAATTGGAACTCTGTAATTTCTCTTAAAATAACTGGAACTGGAATCAAGTCACTGGTTTCAGAGTAACTAATAATTTAGTCGTTGTTTTTTTTATAGGTTTATTAAACTGGAATTCGGTTATTCGTGTTCGTAGGATCATTTTAAAATCATAACTAAAACTAAGTAATTGGTTTAATAGGGTCGTTATGCTAACTGGAACTCAGACACTGGTTTTAATTAACTGGAATAATTCAGTCATTGCTTTCTATGTGTTCATCATAGAGCTGTGTAACTCAGTCATTGGCTTTATAATAACTGTAACTCAGGGATTGGTTTTAAAATAACTTGAACTCGGTCACTGGTTTTAAAAGAACTGGAAAATTTCAGTCATGGGTTGTTATTTGTGACAGTGCGTTACAATAACTGTAACTCGGTCTTCCCTGTTCATCGATCCACCACGCCACCGCTCACCCAACATATGCCGTTCTTGTGTTTTGCAGCGGCCGGCAGTGCCTCGGAGGCAGCGGCCAAGGTGATGGCTGACAATGCCAAGATGGACTAGATGGCGCCACTAGTCTATAGGTAGCATTCAGCGGCTGCGACACGAGCATCGGTGCTGCCACCTGCTGGGCGTTTGCGAGAATTTTGTCGCGGCGGCTGCGCGTTGTCATCGGTCTGATCCAGCGAGGAGCGAGCAACCAATTACATCAGAGTGACAGCTGTGTTACGGATGTTCACTTATTTTGAGGCGCGGTCCGCTGACCGGACCTATTTTTCTTGAGGCGTATTGCCCGTCATTCGGTTCGCGATGGGGAGATGCATCGTGGGAAGGTCAGTCTTGGCATGTGGTTGCGTTGAGGAGGGGGAGGGGCGGGTGTATGGGTGGGGTTTATGGGGGAGGTGTGTGTTTAGTCATGTGGGGTGGGCCTGTAGCTGAACCAAAGACGTTCATCCTTCGTAATGAGAGAGGATGGGTTGATGATGGTTAAACCAAATTTATATCTCAGAGCGGGTTTCGTAAAGTGGTGTGGATGTTAAATTTTTTTCCCTTGACCGTTTTCGATCGTCATTGTCGCAATTCCTGTTGTTGTTGTTGTTTGCAAAATGGATGGCTAAAATTGTACACGTTGCACTGGGGTTTTTCACTCTGCTTTTTAAATCTACAAACAATTGTTTGTCACTGTGGTAGCTGCAGTGACGTTTTTTTGTGTCTGCAAATGTGCGTACATGCGTGCGCTCTTGCGTGCATGCATGTGTGTGTGCGTGCGTGCGTGCGTGTGATAGTGATTGCAC